CTAGGGTGTAGAGGTTCGATAAGAAGGGATTTTTCGAAATTCCAGTTCCAAGAGGGTGAAACCACCCCTCAAATATTACAATATTTTTTATTTAAAAAACGGTCCAGTTTCCGAAAAAACGCTTAAACACGTATATTTTATTTTGTTTTTTACATATTTTAAGATTTTTTAAAAATGTATACAGGGTGTTTCGAAAAATCTGGTCATTGATTAATCACGATCCTGCTTAAAGCGCATGACGTAAAAGCTGATTTTGGAAAACAGATTGACTTTAGGGTGTAGAGGTTCGATAAGACGGGATTTTTCGAAACTCGAATTCTAAGGGGGTGAAACTATCCCTCAAATATTAAAATATTTTTTATTTAAAAACCGGTGAGTTTTTCGGAAAAACTCTTAAACACGTATATTTTATTTTGTTGTTTTACATATTTTAAGATTTTTTATAAATTTATACAGGGTGTTTCATAAAATATGACCATTGAGTAATCACGATTCCGCTTAAACTGCTTGACGTTTAAAGCTAGTTTTTGGCAAACGGATTGACTGTGGGGTGTAGAGTTTCGATAAGGAGGGGTTTCTCGAATCTCAAATTCCAAGAGGGTGAAAACGCCCCTCAAATATTATAATATTTGTTATTTAAAAAAGGTTAGTCTTTCGGGAAAACGCTTGGACGAGCATAATTTATTTGGTTTTTTTACATATTTTGAAATTTTTTAAAAAATCATACAGGGTGTTCCAAAAAGTTGGGTCATTTCTTAACCACGATTCTGCTTAAACTGCTTGGCGTAAATTTTCTAAACAATAAAAGCAAATCTCAGACACACCCTAAAACTCAATATTTGACAAATAATGATGACGTAAAGGTGTACGATGGCTGAATAGTATTTAATTTAGTTTTGACGATTCTTCTATGTTGGCTACAGGATCTCCACGCAAAAAAACTATCTAGACCTTTTCATAGTCTAAGGTTTAAAATCCGCTTCTCATACAGTCTGAACAATAAATACATATCTGGCCCCTCCACATTTTACATAAGCCGTCGTGTGGGGCAGCGAAAAGAATCCAATTCTCTATTAGTTATTTTATTAAAATTACAACGGCCGGTTTCCACAAATCCACGATTCTGTTTTGGGTGTTTTTCGAGAAAATTTTTATATAAAAGACCAGGACTGCATAACGTTGCAGCACGTAAGCAGCGACCAGGTGCCTCGCTAGAGCCTAGAGATAGCCTAGAACGGGAAATTTTCATCGGAAAATACTTGTTGAGTTTTCCACGGTTTAGAGAAAATTCAGCTTGAACATCATACAACGCATGTTAGTTAAAATAATGTTAATTTTTTAACGTGGGAGGTCTATAGATTCATGCTTTTTTAACAAACATATTTGTCTATAAAATATAATTAAAAAAATCAAAAACAATACTATTTCCAGAAGATTTGATTACAGGATTTGGGATTTTAATGGTTCAGAGAAAGTTTCATTGTATTTAGAACAGTAGGACTTGATGAGTACCCGAAAAAATCACAGAGACTGACCCCATGGCGATGTCCGCTGTGTACTTCCTAATCTCCTGGTACAAAGTGTTCTAAATTTGCATATATACATACATATACATCCATATTTGTTTTCCTAAACAAACATATCCTATCAATTTATATATAAACTATTCTAAATCCTTTATAATGTTTAACAGAAAATGAATATATTATAGGAGAATACGCACACAGCCCAAATATCCTTTGAAGTTTTCTATAAAACCGAATAGGCACCGATGTCAGATTTTGTCTTATCCCTTCTGAAAAGCGACAATAGTTTTTTAAGTTGTTCTAAAATAGAAGTAGAATTAAGAAATGAATAATATCGAAGAATATACTGAAGTTACGTCACTGGTTATGTTGTTATTTTTATCATCCTGATAATAATAATAAATAATGTAGCTTGTTTATCGAAAAATTAAATCCTCAGAATTATTAGATGAATTTCTATCAGGGAATCATAAAAGGTACGGTGTTTTTATTCTGTTATTCAGCTTTAGCCATATAAAAATAATATACTTTTGGTAAAATAAAAAATATGTATGTTAATATAAAAATATGTTTATTGCAACATTATACATTTTTGAGTATACTTAATGCAACATTACAAATTCTTTAGTAAAAACATGTATAAAAGATAGAGAGCAACCAAATATAAATACATTGTTATATTTTCACCAACGTCAAACGTAAACAATGATTTGTTGTTTATTCATTGGTTCATTTGATAGCGGACATAAAGGAGTTTCATCAAAAGCTACTAAAGTATTTAAGTATCGAGATTTAATTTATTTAATTCCTTTCCAAAAATATTAAAAACTAATCTACCTAAAAACCCTGATATTTACTAAATTTTTCACCAAAATTCGTTAAATTTAACGATATCCGACACAATCCGGCAACGTGGCACTATACGGTATTCGATATCTGTAAAACTCAACATTCACTACACCGCACTCATGTTCTCCTGATCAAAACGGGGAAGATGGTCGCGAGAACTCGCGGTTTTCCACTTCTTCGCAGCATCCCAGCCGCTTATTCTTCGATGTCTTAAACTGGACCGCTCGACGCTGTTGCCAAATTTTGTCCCTAAACCCTCTCGAATCGGTTTTGAGAGTGTAAAGGAATAAATCCGGTAAAATAGGGAAGAAAAGTGAGATGTGGCAACGTGGGCGATCGGTTGTCCACTACGGAACTAATTGTGTGGCGCTAATGATTGTCCGAAGTGTCCCGGCGGACATCTTCGGGAACAATTGAAGGCGAGGACAGCTGTCAGCCGTCTATCATCCGTGGCAGCGTTACGTCACGAAATCGCGAGTTGTATCGGGAGAACATGAGATAGGAAGAGGTACAGATAGTTTTGTTCTGTGGGAACGGTTGATGTTAAGTCGATAGGCAAAAGGATACAGGGTGTTCCTTGATGACATGCTAATATTTAAGGAGGTGATTCTTGGACCTATTCTAGGAGAAAAACTTCATATGAATGTATGTCCTAAACATCTTAATTTCTTAGATACAGGGTGGTAAATTTTTCTAAAAAAAACTTTTTTTCATAATAACTCTGATTTTGTTACAGTTACAGTTATTTTTATGAAGCTTGATACACGTCTTCTATGCATCAAAATACCTTTTTTGGTGTACAACTGGTGTACAGGGTGTCCCATTTTGGTTGAAATCATACGGTATCTCCGTTATTAGTAAAAATAGGAGGATGCGGTTTGCACAAACCTGTCCTACTTTTTTGTCAAACGGAAGATGCTGTCATCAAAATTTTCATAGCCCTCTTCGTTTCTGAACTACAGGGTCTTTTCGAAAATTTTGCAATTTGGTACAGCCCCCCTATCTCCGTTATTATGGATGATATCGAGAAGGTAAAAACCGATTCTTGTAGAACTTTTTACGTAGAATACTGTGGCGTAGTCTGTTTTTCTTATATTTTTGAAAATATGAAATAAAGTTACGTTTTTTCAAATGGAACACCCTGTATATTTATAAATCATATGATCCGCCTTGCTATGAGCTTGTGAAAAATATACACATACCGGAAAAGTCTAGGGATATTACAATTTTATCCAGCCATCGTCAGTAATTTTATTATTTGCATTTCTGATATAATAAAATTAAAATAAACAAATAGTTTACAGGACGTATTGGAAATAAAAATGCGAAATTTACCGAATTTTTCAAATTTACCTTGATTTTTATTGAACTCAAAAAATACACACATTTTTTTTTATTCTAAACTGTGAATTAAAAAAAAGATAAAACCAATTTTACTTAATAAAGGGTATAGCCTCCTCTACTGTTCATTACAGTCCTACATCGTCTCTCCATGCTCCTGATCAGGTTGTCGATCTCTTCATGATATTAAATCACGATATGTGATTCCTGTTAGAAACCTTTCAAGAAAAACGAGATCGGTTTTTCGGCCTAACTGGACTCCTCCCCAGACCATAACTGTTCCACCTTGATAAGGATGCACTTCCTCAACATGATCCAACCGAATAAGATTTCCCGGTTCTCTAGATTTTCCGGTGTGTGTATATCACTCTATATTTATTTTCACTATTTACTGCAAATTATGATTAATATAAAAAAATAAAAATTTCCCGAATTTATTATCTCAGTCAAATAACTGTCTACTCAACGTGTTCATTTATTGTCAATAATGACATGTATTGACTATTTCCCTTCTAAATATCTTGAGAACGGTTACTCGTAGCGACTTTTACCAAGAGACATTTTTTACGCAAAAAGTCACAATATGCCCTATATTTTTTCACTCAGTACTTTTATACAGGTACGGACAAAAAGTTATTACTCTTCAAAACAGTTAAAGCATATGTAGGTGACGCCCCCTACAAATAGGTGTCATATTGACATCAAAATCAAATTCCTCATGTCAAAAAACTCCCAGACACCAATTTTCATTTAAATATTGACGTTTTCAGAAATTATTTGGAAAAAATCGAAATAAAAATGAAATTTGAACACCCTGTATCTCCGAAACTAAGCCATTTTAGGACATACATTTATACGATTTTTTTCCTTAGAATAGGTCCAAAAATCACCTCCTTAAATATTAGCATGACATTAAGGAATAGATATTAGATATTTTGAAGAAATATCGATAGTTCAGGTGTCTCTTAAATAACTGCTATAGTCTGTCCAGTAGAAGGATCACTGTTAGTGACAGTTGTGTTCTTCTCTGACTCGTTAGACAGGGAAAATTTCGACATACGATATTCAAAAAATGACAGGAAATACAATTTGCACGTGAATTAAAATGACAGACACAACTGTCACTATCGGGGATCCTTCCATTGGACAAACCATAGCAAATATTTAAAATGTATATATTCTCTATAATTTAAAAACTATACTCTGTCCCGTTGGAATAACTTTTAATAATAAGAAACACTAATAAAATAAAATATATTTTATTTATTTTTATTAACAGAAAACATTTGTTGATGTTTTGTATTCTAAAATTAAAAAAGCTTTACAGAATGGCTATAATACTTATATCATCAGCACACTTTACAATAGCAACCTTACTTTCATGTCCATCTACTACAGGGGTAATCACTACAGAACACTTCCCTTCTTTGACACATCTTTTTACACTTCTCTTCTTTACAGTCAGTTGGGAACAATTAAAAACCGGAAAAACAACTAAATCGTCAGACTTTACCGCTATTCTTCTGTCAGAATCGTTTGACAGATCTCAGGGATTCACAGGGTACATCACTAGGTCTTGTCTAAATCATACCAGCGCTTGTAAGATCAGGGCGCGCTCATTTTGTATGAAATTAATCAACAAATCGTCTAATCTTTCGTTGCTTCTGGCAATCTGTCTTTTGATGGCTTGTTTCATTTCTTCTTTGGCCCCCTTGTCGGCGCCCCTGGTGCCTATTCTCCTCTGACTACTAAACAAGTTAAAAAAAATAATATATTTTTCATAAAAAAAATATTTTTCAATACCTCAAGTTAGGAAGAATTTCTAAGTGAATTTGTCCACCCTGTGGTGTCCATAAATACATCAGTTCTTCCATTATGTCCACATTAATGATGTAGTTCTGTAAAAATATGAATTTGAACTTAGACAAGGAAAGAGAGGGGACGGGTAACACGCATAATCTCCCGTGATCGGATAGTGAGGCCAAAATTCGATCGGCGGCCATACTTTGGTGACAAGATTTCGAGGTGACACCGAGCGAATTTTTATGTTTTTTGTGACAACTGTTTTGTTTTAAATTTATAAACTGTATTGTTTAGTATGGTGAGATGTTCAGAGTATGGCTGCAAAGACCGAAGCAAGAAAAAAGTGGCTGGAATTACATTTCACAGGTAAAAATCGATACACAACTTTTGTTATGTGGTCATAAAATGTACATTTTTTCATTATAGCAGTAAAAATACGTAAAATGCTTTAATATGTTTAGTACCACATCCAAACCAAACTATTTTTAATAATTCCAAGTAGTATTTTCAATATCCTGTATTATAATTAATGTTTGAAACTATAAATAATGCTACTCAGCATGGATTTCTCCAGTGGCGTAGGGAATTATAATAAGAGAAATACAATTACTGCAATAAACATTATTTTATATATTTAAATGTAAAAAAATGTATAAAGTATTGTTATCAAATATGTAAAATAATTGTAAACTAAAAAAAAAATTCTAGTGATAAAAAATCTATATGTATAGTTGTTATATAAAATTTAAATTTACCTGCCAAGACTTGCTGGGGATGGACAAACTTGTGGTGGGCTACTTGTTACTACATATATTTTTTTAAATATTCTTTCAAAAAATTTACTAATTTAGGTGTATAATAATAGTTTCGGTGAGTAATTAATACAAATTTAAAAATAAATAAAATAACACAAAGCTTCTAGAATTGTTTATTTTTTTTGTGGAAAAATTAGGATATTCTATTATGATTCTTCTAGTATGATTGATAGTGGTCAATATTAAAAATTACATTATTCGTTGAATCTGTACGCAAGTGTGAAGGGGAATGGCGAGATTCATTATTATACCGTATGGTCGAAAAAAAACGACGCCCAGTTGGCTTGTAAATGACGATCGACGACATTCCCCGTATAATTTTACATATAAAATGACAGCGATCTTCATTTCATAGCCATCGCTGACGCCGTCTTTTTTCGATGTCGTTTTGTATAGTTTTTATGTCATTTTATATGTAGAATTATATGGGGAATATCATCGATCGTAATTTACAAGCCAACTAGACGTCGTTTTTTTTCGATTATACGGTATAATAATGAATCTAGTCAATTCCCTTCACACTTGCTTACGGATTCAATGAATAATGTAATTTTTAATATTCATTTGTGAAATTGTCATTTCCAAACAAACAAGGCGCCGTTTTTTTTCGATCATACAGTATATATGTATATACACGTTTAAAACATATGGTATTACATTATTTTTTATTTAATTATACATTACATATTACAATAAATAAATAATTGTCTTGATAATCAGTTCACTGTGACTGTTTAATAAATTTTGCATTATCGACTTAGATATTTTAATATTATAAAGGTGAGACTATAAAATACAAAATTGTATATGCATTACTAAAAAATGAACGATATATTAGTTTACTTTTAATAAATATTTTGTACCGTCTAGGTACAAGCTAATTTCTGATGCTACGCCATTGGAGAATTTCGAGTGGAATTATGTAAAGTGATGTAAAATGAAGCCAAAAATGCAATAATATACAGGGTGTTCCATTTAAAAAAAATAATCCCAATCCACTCACACTTTTTTGAGCCACCCTATAGATGTTAAAATCGATGATGCCAAATTTCTGCGGATTGCGCTAGGTCAACGACTTGTGCTTGTTTAATAATATTAACGATAATAAAAAATAAAAATAAAGATAAAAATCACGTTTGATATTTTACCTGGAAAAGATGGTACTGAAATGACCTGTGCTGTTTAATTTCTTCTAAAAGGGAGGGTACAAAATCTTCTTCTTGTGGCCAATCTAATTGTACCAAGACAAAAATGTGACCTATAGATAGTTCGCTGTAATCATGTTTGCCCATATTTTCCTACAAAAAAGTACAGAAAAACTATTCCAAGTACAAAAAAATCCCAAAATCCTGGCGCATTCGCCAAAATACTCATACCTTTATACATCTCAAAAGAATTTTCGTTAAATATTGCAACACTGCCATCCTTGTCAACGGCAAATAATGCAAATGTCTCTGATTGCCTCCAACTATCAAACCATTGCTTAAATTGCCAGAATTGTTCACTGGCAACAAAGGCAAGGCCAGTAAAATTGGTTCCAGACATGACTAGAAAAAAATCTTTTTAATGAACAGTGCTTTCCATAAAATCAATAATCAATAAAATGAAAAATATACGAAATAATATACAAGTACTTAATCGACATCTATGAAACTATGAACCCTTCCTGGTCACAAATGGTACATTGTAAGACAGGAAATTGTAGAGAGAAACAAGCCCTATAATATCGGATACAACATTTTAATGAACAGTGCTTTCCATAAAATCAATAAAATTAAAAATATATGAAATAATATACATGTACTGATTTCTTTCAAAAATCGACAACTTTGAAACTATGATCCCTTCCCCGACACGAACGGTACATTGTGAGACAGGAAATTGTAGAGAGAAACAAGCCCTATAACATAAGATACAACATTTTAATGAACAGTGCTTTCCATAAAATCAATTAAATGAAAAATATACGAAATAATATACATGTACTGATTTCTTTCGAAAATCAACAACTATGAAGCTATGAACCCTTCTCGGACACAAACGGTACATTGTGACACAGGAAATAGAGAGAAACAAGCCCTATAACACAGGATATAACATTTTAAAGAACAGTGCTTTGCGTAAAATCAATAAAATGAAAAATATACGAAAATATACAGGGTTTATAAATATCACACAAACATTACTTACACTGTAGTTTTTCTTAATATACAGTATACTGGCCAGCCTGATGTACTTGTGTAACATCAAAGAACTGTCTGTAATTTTTTGTAAGCTTACAAGACACTCGTCAAACCTAGCAGTGTACAAGGCATAATCAATCAAAAAAACAGACAGCCAAGTGTCTATCTTTAAGTGTGAATGTATTTTTATAAATTCTACAAAAAAATATACAGTAAAACTAAAAAAAAACAGTTTAAATTTGAATTTACCCCTGTGAAGATTTTCTGAAGAATGTAGCAAATCCCAACAATTAACACACATCAGAAAATTGCTGTGAATATTTTTGAGTTCTGGCTTTTCGACAGAAATGTATGGATTAGTTGTGTGGATTATTTCAGTGTCACTTTTGCGTTTTTTGCTCTTTGGTTCAGACATTGGGTTGGGAAGTGTGGGATCTATAAAGTTATTATAAGTTACCATTGAGAAAAAAAGGCTTCAAGACATGAAAAATTAATGAACTACTTACCTGTGAATGCTTCAACTAAGAGATAATTTGTTGCAGTCTGTCCAGGAGATGAAACAGGGGAAAGACTACCGTTATATTCATGTAAACAATACAAAAAAAATAGAGACAGACAGTACAGTAGTTGTTTATCGTCAGTGATCAGATTGTTCTTTGTTCTTGCCTGATAATGAGTCAGTATTACTTGCCAATAGATTTCTTTAGTAAAAATCAAGTTAAAGTTAATTAAATACTGTTCCCAACCAAGTTGTTTTCCTATAAATTCAACCATGGAGAACAACTTACACCAAGTATTTTCTATGCTTGATTCTGTATCCTGTGGAGAAGAAAAAAACTAAAAAATTAGTGTCTGTGATTAAACTTGATGATTTTTTTACCTGTAATGTTGTACTAGACCTTCCCAAATAACACAAATAGTATTCAACAGCTTTCTGTAAGAGTTTCAGTAAGAGTTTTGAATTTAATTCAAGGTTTATTTCTTGTTTGGCCAGAAGAGGTAGTAATTCACAAACTAGGAGCTTCCTGTAAGGGTTAATTGGGTAATGACCATCTACACTGTGTTTTTCTGCTGTCATTAATGTATCAACAAGTCTTGGCTGAAATTAAAGCATAAATAATAATAAAATTAAATTTTTAATTGTTTTAATTACCCCATAACTTGATATAGCTGTTGGAAACCTTTGTAAAAGCAACAACAGCAATCTACAGTGCTCCATAGTGTCTTCACAGTGATCTGCAGTAAACAGCAGCAACTTATGTTGAACATCCGACGATATATGCTTAAACATTTCGCATAAAAACTGTTTTTCAGCATCATCACTATCGGTTTCAGACCTGAGAGCTGAAGTAACCTTTTCTATCTCCTTCCACAAGTCTGGAGTTTGCTGAAACTTGCTAATCCTACAAAAAAAATAATATAAGTATAAAACTATGCGATAATAAAGCATCTTACAGATCACTAAAACACCTTGCAGCTTCTTTAACATTTCCAGCGTTTTTCTCTATCAAATAGGCTTCAAACTAGATAAAAACAAAACTGAATAGATTATTTTTATTTATGATAATCAAGAAACTTGCCTGTACACCAAAATTGTTAGGATAAAGCGATTTGGCAGTCAACATCAAAGCTTTGGCCATATAAGGGTCAGTTTTAAAAGCATCCTTGGCTTTCTGTATGACAAACTCTTCGTCAGATTGTTCTAGATCAATTTCCATGCTGAAAATTCGGGTTTTAATAGAAGAAAATGTAGAAAAACACTTATAACTCTCTCAAAACACTAAAATCTCAAATACAAAATTGTGAGGTTATATTTTTTTAGAATTGTCAAATTTAAACGATCGATCTGCCATCTGTGATTCGATAACTCAGTTAAGTCCTGTTTGAAAATTATAGAAAACTAGCATAAGGTTTTGAAACTGTAAAAAATGTTTTCTGTAAATTGTTTTGGGTTAGTGACATCTACTGTAATGCGCTAAAAGCTGTAATTTATTATTTTATGCGTAAAACAAGAAAGAAATAAGAACTTTTGCGTATTTTTTAATCATATGTACTGAGAATATATATAAAAAAAATAATTTTGAGGAAATCTGATGAAAAAAATACGTGGGAACAAAAAATAAAGGGAATTTAAGTGTCCTAACGAGGAAAAAATGACATACGACGGTCGCATTTTAACAAGGATAGGAATCAAGTGGGCTTAAGTAGAAACAAATGACGGGCAGAGGTGTGATGAGAATCGTGCGCTTCAGGGTAGGCGTAACTCACCCAGATGTGTACGGAAAAAATTGAGATAAATCAGCTAAAATGCCTGTTTTAATAGAAAATATCTTACATGAGGGACTTTGAAAATTTTGTTTTGTATATATGTGACTGGAAAATTATTTTTTAAGGTGTCTGCGTATTTTTAATGCAAAAAAATAATATTTTAATGAAAACAAAAGTGTGCGCCACTGAATTGGCGGTGTATATCCAAAAAGAATGGACGCATGTGTTTTTTTTTGTCAAGGAAGGGTTGATTGAGGCTGATGGTCAGTAGTTTGGTTGATTTGGTGTGAAAATAAGAACCGGCTAATGCTTGTTATTCGGAAAATGACAGGGTTACGGTTATTATAGTGTTAGAGAGCGTTTTTTCTCTGATTTGAAGAAAAAATTATGGCTAAAATGCCGAAATGCGATCAAATAATTTAAAAAATATTAAGGAAAACATTTTTACTTACAGAGTATTTAGTTTTCGGCCCCACTACTCCTATTTCTGTTCCTGCTTTAGTTCTGGAAGCATCAGTATACGCATTAAGCTGTAGTATGTTTTCGACAAAACTTAGTAAAAAAAAGTAAACTAAAATAAATAAAATAATGAAAAGGAATTTAAAACCGCTGGAATTCGTAACTATCTAACACAAGCCTTGTTTAGTTGTTTTCTTTAATTATTTTTTAGTTAATTGCGCTGGTTCTCGTGTCGAGCGCAGGCACGGCCTCAGGCTTCTCTATAGCAGAGCGGCCCTAAAAAATTGCGGGTAATTTCGACAATTTGCTTAAAAGATGCCACTGCAGTCGATATATATCGTTGGTCAGAAAATCAAAGAAATGCTTGGCCAAGGGCTACGTTCCATGGTACCATTTACCAGAACCGGACCCAGTAACGTAAACCTTTTAATTTTCTTTCGGGTGTTCTGCGTAAAATGGAAAAACTCCAGGCAATTTGTCTCTTTTTTTTGCTTAAAATTAAATAATTTCAATAATAAATAGCGTTAATTAGAATACATCCCACTAAAACCCGTATTGTCAAATATATCTATGTATTTAAAATTCATAGAAACAAATTATAATTTTTGCAACCGTTTTTAACAAAAATTTGAAAAAAATAGTTATATTAATATTAATATGGTTACTGATTTTAAGTTAGACATGTAGATTGTTTTAAATCAATGCACGTATTATAAAAAAAATAACAAAAAATATATTTTGTATTCAATTTTTGAAAAAACTGTGTTTTTCGAGTTTTTTTAATTTTCCGTTAAAAACATAATAATTTACACCTTGATTTGGATGTATGGCAATATATGGCAAGATATCATTAGCATCATCCGCAGATGATTAAGACTGTTTATACAGAGTGTCCCAGAAATAAGTGCAAGTATTTTAAAGGGTGGTAGATCTCGATAAAAGAAACATATTAGAGTTATTTTACTTTCAAAATTAAAAAAAAAATGATTTTTTGCTAAAATTTTGAGAACCACTGGATCTTTTCTGGATTTTCTTTCTTGTAAATTTAATCTAATACCTCTGTTTCCATATTATCAAGAAATTATGTTTTTTTAACTAAAAACTAAAAAAAAATCCAAAAAATTTTGAATTTTCAAAAAAAAAATTCCGCGAAAAAAACCTCATAGGCGTGCTTCTGGGGTTGAACTATACAACCAGTTAAAATTCTTGCACTTATTTCTCACGAATTGCACACCACAGTCAGCGCTTCAGATTTTCAGCGATTTGAGCTTGAAGTAAACTGACTTTAATTTTTTTAAACAATAAATATGCGAAAAAAATTAAGAGATAAAAATTGTTTAGAAATGAATGGAGATTTTGAAAATAATTGTTATTTTAAGAGAAATCAGTGGTGTACAAATTTTTTCTTCAAAAATATTCAGTTGGAATGGTTGAAATAAATAAAATTGTTTGTACATCAAAAAAGGTATTTTGATGCATAGAAGACATGTATCAAGTTTCATAGAGATATCTATAACAAAATCAGAGTTATATTATGAAAAGAAAATCTTTTTTGAAAATTTTACCGCCCCGTATCTCATAAATTAAGATGTTTGGGACATACATGCATATGAAGTTTTTTTTCTCTTCGAATAGGTCCAAGAATCACCCCCTTAAATATTCCACTAATTGCGAGGTTCTGAATCAAGTTTATGACAAAATTCTGTAGATGGAACGTTAAAGTGCATGGTTTGTGGAGTTTACAACAAAAATAAACATAACTCTTCACAATATAATGTTTTGGACATTTTATTTACTTTGTGGCAAAATAAAACACTAATTCACCACAATACACCAAAACAACTAGAAGCGCGTTTCGTTGACCATAGTACCGTATGATCGAATAAAAACGGCGTCAGCGATGGCTATGAAATGAAGATCGCTGTCATCCCAAGTAGCATTTTCACAATTTGCGACCACATGTTTACTAAACACAACGTTGGATTAGTTACAAAAAATAGTTAGCTCCCTACCTTGGGTATTAAAATAAATTTAAACGTTTTTATAACGTTGTGCCGACGTTGGACTAGTACTACAGCAAAGTAGAAGCTTCTGCGACGTCGAATAAACGTTGTCTTGTAACCTTTTTTGCTTAAGTGATCTTTAGGTGATTCGGACAACGTAGTTACAACGTTGGACAATATAAAGTTTTCCGACGTCAGTTTCAGGACCTATTCCAACGTTATGCAGACGTCGTCTGTTTTACTAATTCCAATGTTGTTTAGATTTCCTTATTCTTACGTTGGTAGGACGTCGAGTCACTACCTTTTTGCAACTGTATTGAACCATAACCTTAAATCTTAAATTTTCACTTCATTGTTCTGTTCAGTCAGACAGTTCAGTGCTTTTTTTTTAGCATGTCATTAAGGAACACCCTGTATATTTTTTTTTGTTAAAATATTAGTAAAATATAAAACCAAATTTTCTGAAACCCTCCCTATACAACTCCCTTAGGGTTGATAACCTCTTTTTTCCCGTGGGGGTGTCTGATGGTCTCTACCTAGGACGCAAAAAATCAACAATGCAAAAAAATTAGAAAATATACGACAGAAAAACCACCAACAACCGAAAAATCAAATTACTTTCCGATTCTCTCCATTCCAAAATTGGTTTCTACGTTGTCCGAACACGCAAGGGTACGATTTTGGACACGAGCAGGTACCAAATGCGTCTACGGGGGCAATTACTAAGGTAGGTACTGTCTTCAGAATTAGCAAGAACTACTAGAAATTTCGGTTTGTAAATGATTTTTCTTGAATTTTAACTATTTTACTTACTTGAAGTAAAAGCTTCAGTGCTTCAGTGGTCGGTATGATATAAAAATTAGTACTGTGCGATATAAGTTCAGTACTACAATACGTCTGTCCGTTCTGTAACTACGGGGTATCCGTGAGAGGGGAAACGATATTGTCTCGATGTTTTTTGTAAAAAATTAGACGACGCGTCCCATCAATAAAAATTCCACAAATTCGCAAGTAGCCAATAAAATGAGTGGGCGGAGCGATTTGCGGTGACGTACTCGTCAAGTCGACGTATAAAATATATTGCTGTTTATTTAAATGTTTTTTGTCCGCATTCCTTTCATAGACACAGATCCAGCAGACGTACTGTACATACATACCCAAAAGAAATTATACAGGGTTGTTCACCATATACGACGCGGAGTATTGTAGCTAAACTTTTAGATTTTTGCAAATTGTAAGTTTTGGGTTCGTTGAAGGACTATTAGAGCTACAATTTAAAAATATTTTTACAAGATACAGAGTGGCCCAAATAAATAAAAAATATCAAAGTTGTATTTTTTTAAACGGAACACCCTGTATATTATTACATTTTTAGTTTCTACGATTAAAATAAAGGTAAATTTGATAAGGTTTACCGCATTTTAATCTTACCGTTTCTGAAATATTTAGGTTTTTGTCAAAATACAGTAGGTAATAATTTTAATGCCTTATTTCTCCAGGCGTAATTAAGTTTTTAAAGCCAAATATTGTACTGAAATATTTCTATTTACTAAACTTTGTGTTACAATAATAAAAATTATACTAACTTTATACAGAGTGTCTAAAATTTTATTTTAAGTAATAATTAGCTATAAACGGCAATAACTTCTTTAATTTAAATGAAACACCATGTATATTTATAAGAAGCAGATGCACAATTTAATTGTCTGTCAAATTGTATTATACCATTTTTTACCTATGTCTTCAGGTTTTCGTAGAAAATGCATTTTCTTATAATTTAGACCTCAATTATCAATATACCCATGGAATATTGACATTTTTGATTATTTTTAAAGATGTAACAAATTTTTAAAGGGTACAGATACTAATATTGTCGATATAGTTCGTTTATGTCACTAAAAAATAAAAAAAAATGTTTAAATATTTATAAAAGAGGACCGATTAATATGATTCCAGTATTCAAACTACATTAATTGACTGTTTACTGTGTTGATTAATAATAATTGCTCCAAATACTAAAAAACTTAATTTTGTATGTGTATTAGACAGTGTGGTCAACACCTTAAAAACTTATTTCATTTTTGACGAATGCTCATTTATAACAACAGAGACATTCATTTTCATAACTTATTATTATATTGACTTCTGTTTCCAAATCCACATTAATTTAGAATAATTTATTAACTAACACAATTAAATATGTAATTAATTAATATTTTGGCGGAAATAATGGTGGTATATTTAATTAATGGTATACTCTTTTATAAAGATTTAAATAGTTTTATTTTTGTATACCAATAGGCTGGTAATATTATCGTTTTTAGCACCTGTATATTTGTTGCTTTAAAAACAATCTAAAATGTCAATATTCCATAGGTATACTGATAAATGGGGTCTAAATTATAAGAAAATGCATTTTGTACGAAAACTTGAAGGGATAGGTAAAAATGGTATAATACAATTTGATGGACAATTAAATTTTGCATCTAATTCTCCCAAAATATACAGGGTGTTCTATTTAAATTAAACAAGTTATTGTCGTTTAAAGCTAGAAATTATTTAAAATAAATTTTTAGACACTCTGTATGAGGTAGTATTATTTTTATTATTGCAACACAATAACTGATCAATAATTAAACTTCAGTAAATATTTAGTATTAAAAACTTTGATACCCTTGGAGAAATGAAGCCTTAAAATTTTTACTGCTTTATTTTCACAACCTTAATTAAATTAAAATTTGCCTTTATTTTAATCTTAGAAACTAAAAATGTGATAATATACAGGGTGTTCCATTTAAAAAAATTCAACTTTGATATTTTTTATTTATTTATTGGTCCATCAACGAACCCAAAACTTACAATTTGTCAAAATCTAATCGTTTAGCTACAATACTCCGTGTCGTATGTGGTGAACAACCGTGTAGATTTGCAAAATGAAACTACAAAAATTGATATAAAAATATGATTTAATAAGAATAAAATACAACTATTATAAACTTACAAGTTTATCAAAATAACCTTTAAAAAGTTAATATTGTCGGCTATTTTTTTTCTGAAAGACTCAAAAAAGGTGCCAAACGTAATTTTTCAAACAGAGAAAAGTTAAAGCTTGCCCCTAGTTTACGCTTTTTAAAATTGCAGCCTGATGATGAAGCATATTTTTTAACGTAGGAGGAAATGCAGTTGTTGAATCGTGTTTTTTTGACTTCCGTTATGAAAAAAATTACATAGAAAAAATTTGCCTACAATATATTCTAGAAGATTGCACATATTTACAGGGCTGGTAGATCTCGATAAAAGACTCATATTTTTTCTTTATCGTTTTTCAAATAAATCCAAAATAAACGACTTATTTTGCTTTTTTGCTTAAATTTTGAGAACCACTAGATTTTTTTCTGTGCTTTCGATCCTCTAAATTTAATCTGCTATGTTGCCATATTGTCAACTGAAAATTAAAAAAAATCAAAACATTTTTCGAAAAATACAGAATTTTCATTTTTTTAACAGAAAAACATTGTAGATGTGTTTCTGTGGTCAAAATATACAACCTCTAAAATATATGCACTTATTTAAGGTCCACCCAGTATATTTATTTAACAAATTATATTTTGAGTGTATTGTTTTCGCATCATGTGTAAAAATTATGATAATTGTCTGTATTTATCAGTATTCTATAAACATCTAAAATTAGTTAATTGTAAAATTCCCAAGATTAAAAAAAGTTACAGACATTATTGACTTTTTTATAGTAGAATGAAACCCTATATTCCCATTCAGCATACTTTTTCTTTAAAAAAAATATAACTCAGTCAAAGAAATTTCAATCAAACAATACACTAAAGCACACTAAAACATTTTTTAAACAAAATAATACAACAAAAAACTCACACAAAAATTCAAATTAGTTCCTTTTTATATCTCCATCCCCGGAAAAAACTACAAAAAAAATAACTTCAAGCGACAAAAGATACCTCCAAACCCTCTGCCATTGGCTCGAAACATCTCTGCTTCCCTATTGGTCGCCGAGCACGCGCTAAAAAGGCGTTAACTTCCGAGACCCTCTATATAAAAACGAAGGGCCCAACTGGCTAGGGCCATATACATCTTCACCGCCAACCTTGACTCTCGTGTGCTACCTTCAGTTTTCGCTCAAAAAGTTTACGTCAAATTTCGTGTGACGTTCAGTGAAGAAGTTATTTTTTTTAAATTCATCATGGAGAACCCAGAACACTATTCAGCTTATTTGTACTTCCCTTCTCAAGCTACATCAGAGCTAGTAACTACCCAGGATTGCTGGGGTAACAACAACAGTCCGACATCAAGCTACGATAGCTTAAGTGAAGAAAGTTTCTCCTCCCAAGTACCAAGTCCTTCGGGAAGAAATACCAGGGGTAGAGTTTCGCCGCAAGTGTTGAAGAGAAGACGTCTGGCAGCTAATGCCAGAGAAAGAAGAAGGATGCAGAACCTGAACCAGGCCTTTGACAGATTAAGGACTTTTCTGCCACAGTTGGGGCAGGATAGGCAATTGAGCAAGTTTGAAACGCTCCAGATGGCTCAGACTTATATTTCCGCGTTGTATGACCTGTTGGATCAGGCTCCTTCAAGGTAAAAAGAGACTTATTTAGTGTAGTTTAATTTGTTTTTATTTGTGATGCCAAAGAAATTTTAAAAGAATGTTAAAAATCGTTTTTTTTTCTCGAAAGAGACATTCCATTTGTTTGTTACTGTAGATATTCTTATTGTAAATTAGAAGATAAGTGTTATCTAGATATGTAAAAATAAAAATTGCCATGATGTTTTTCAGTATTATTATTATTACTCTATAAGTTTAATATATTATGTTTTAGTTTTTCTAGTTTTTAAGTGATTATTTATTAAAAAAATTGTAATTTTTCTCTTGTAAATGATTTTACAGCGTTGTGCCAAATCTTGTGTGTCATATAAAACTGTTTTTAGATATTAGTGTTCATATAATAAACGACTGAAATTAAGTTTTATGCTGTTTGATTTTACCTAAATTTATTTTTACTATACTTGTCAAATTCAAAATTACTGTATTTTGGAGTTGTTTTGATCCTTACATCAAGATTCTTTGAGATAAATTTCTTTAGTTTAGATGTTTTTTAAAGGATTTTACAAAATCTGCTTTTAGTGTTTTCAAGTAAGTCCAAAATAACTGCGTTATTTTACTTTGAAATTTTTCAAAAAAAAAATATTTTATAGCTTAAATTTTGAAAACCACTCGACCTTTTCTGGGTTTTCTTTCTTGTAAATTTAATCTACTACCTATATTGCCATATTATCAAGAATTAATTTTTTTAACTAAAATTAAAAAAAAATCCATAAAATCGTTTAAAAAATTCTAAATTTTCAATTTTTTATGGCGATAAAAACTCATAAATGTGTTTTTGGAGTGGAAATATAGTACTATCTCTAAAACTTTTCTAAAAAAATTTTCAGTTTATAATCATCTGCTGATGATGCTAACATGGTTAGCGAAACGCGCGTCCAGTGTAAAAGTAAAAGTGTTTTGGTGTATTGTGGTGATTTAGTGTTTTTATTTTGCTGTGTAACACCAAAGGTTCCAACCCTCAACTGTAATTTACCATAACAGAGTTATTTTTAAACAATAATTATGTCAACAAACAAACAAAAACATTTTTACTGTTCTTTCAGAAAATTTCCCATAAGTATGTATATAAGAACAATGATAAAATTCATTGAAAGTAAGAAAAAGCTTTAAATAAATAAGCTGTATTTACACTGCGTAAAATTAGAAAACTTTAAAAGTTCCTCCAAACCAAAGTATTCATATAAAAATATTTTATATAACATTTTTTAGTTCCATGTTATTTGTTCTATCAAATTTTTGTATAAATAGAAGGAACCACAGATTTTAAGACAGTAAGCAATGAACTAATAACATAATCGTATCAAAAATGAACTCTCTTTTGGTTGGTAGTAAAATTTTCCGAAAAATACATATTTTTAATATTATTTTATTTGTTTTAGGTTTGTTTTTTAGTATTTTTTTCCGTTAGTGTAGTTTTATCATATCCTCATCACCACCATCATGTAAGTATTTATAGAGCGATCAACAATACAGGGCGAATCTTAAATAAGTCAAATATTTTTAGAGATAGTATATTTTGACCCCAGAAACACGATTATGAGGTTTTCTTCACGATTTTTTTTTTAAATTTGGAATTTTTTGAAAACATTTTTTAAATTTTTTTAAATAAAAAACATAATTTCTTGAGAATATGGCAACATAGGTAGTAGATTAAATTTACAAGAAAGAAAATTCCAAAAAGATCTAGTCGTTCTCAAAATTTTAGCATAAAATCATTTTTTTTGGAAATTTTCAAAGTAAAATAACTCAGTTATTTTGGACTTATTTGAAAAATCGTAAAGAGATAATATGTTTCTTTTATCAAGATCTACCAGCCCTGAAAACAGTTGCACTGATTTACGACTCACCCTGTATAATATGATTAATACTATATCAAACTACAAAAAAACAATATATTTCTTTAATTTTTTTCTTGGTCAACATAATCACTTTATCCCAATTTCTACCTTCCAGATACCACACTACCACTTCAAATATGGCGTGCACGATCCCCACACTCACGATCACAAAGCCCAGAAAGAAGAACGTCACCACGATGACGTGAAAGGCGGATACTTCCTCAAAGAACCCGACGGTACCAAGAGGGTTGTAGAGTATACTTCTGGACACCACGAAGGGTTCAAGGCTGTGGTACGCCGTGAAGGACATGCTCATCACCCTGCTCACGACGGTCATGGACCTGGTGGTACTAGTTACGTTGGTGTAACTCATTGGGGACATGGTTCAGGAAGATAAGATTATGTTAAATCTCAAATTTTATGTTATTTTTTTTTGTTTTATATTGTTATTTAATTTTGTTGAAATAAAATATAATTGAAGTAGGTATTTTTTGTCTCTACCTTGACAAAGTAATGAATACTAGGAAAAAGATTGTGAAAATATAAATTTTAGTTTTCAAAAAAGTCAACTTGAAACAAATATAAGCATACACGTCATTTCTTTTGAATAATAGAAGACTCAGACGTAATGAAACGCCCAGTAGCTGATTTTTTCTCTTGAAGGTTAGTAATAACACGCATTTCTTACATTATTTGCTCTCATTAGTAACAAGACCTTAAAAAATTATTGATTTCGTCACAGGCCTATTTGTTTTAATTTTTTTATTGGGAAAGAATGGCCGAGGCAAGACAAAATTTCTAAGAATAACTGTTACGTATATATTGGTAAAAAATCGGAATATAAGAAAAAAAATTATTCATTTTTAACTATAGTACATAGCAATTAAACTTTTAGTCACGTGATTAAGCTTGACTGGCACAGCGTTGCCAAGTTTTACATATTTTTTTTAAATAGCACTTCCTTAACAGCACTTAAGGGACATAAAGGGCCATAACTACCGCATTCCCGTTCAAAATATTCTAATAAGGTTGCGATGAGTTTTTGCATTGGCTATTAAGCTATCTTGTACACTTCGCAGCAAAAGAGGTTCTAAAAAGAACAATGTTCGACTGTAAGATCTGCTAATAAAATATTTTTTATTTTAAATACGAATGGCAATGGTAGGAAGTAAATAAAGAAATGTGGCAACTTGGCATTTTTTACAGCAGAGCTACCACCTGAATCCGTCATTTGAATGCTCATTTCTGTCAGTTAAAACATAGGTAAAGTCTGTCCAGCAAGAGAATACCTGACAGTGACAGATGTCGTTATAATTCATAGGTAAATTGCATTTTCTGTGATTTTATTTAGGCCAAAAGCCGTTATGAATTTCATAGAGGAGTTAAATGATATGATATCATGAAATATAACATCTACAAAGATAACAATAAATGATAATTTTGTAGAGGTCAATCTCTAGACGTAATTTCAGTTTGGTCACAAATTATCACTAATTAAAAAAAGATTAACAAAGAAAAAAAGTATTTAAAAATATTTTTTTTTAAATGTTCATTTTTTCATTATAGCAGTAAAAATATGTAAAATGCTTTTAATATGTTTTGTATCACATCCAAACCAAAGTATTTTTAATAATTCCAAGTAGTATTTTCAATATCCTGTATTATAATTAATGTTTGGAACTATAAATAATGCTACTCAGCATGGATTTCTCCAGTGGCGTAGGGAATTATAATCAGAGAAATACAATTTCTGCAATAAACATTTTTTTATATATTTTACATGTAAAAAAATGTATAAAGTATTGTTATCAAATATGTAAAATAATTGTAAACTATAAAAAAATTAAAAATTCTAGTGATAAAAAATATTATCATTATTATCACTAGATTCTTAATCTAAAAAATATTTTAGTCCTGACATGTAATGCTTTACATTTTATTTTTAATTTCAAATCGGTGAGTTTTATAAAAAATACAAGAGATAAAAAAGTTTCTAAATAAACTAAATTATCCAAATTAATTTTTTGCATGTGTTTGATAAGCCAACTTTTTCTTTAAATTTCGTTAACAAGAATGATAATGAATCTGTTTATTTTTCCTTCACACTTGCTTAAAAATTCAATGAATAATGTGTTTTCATAACTGTGCTTCCATCGTTAAATTGTCGTTTTCAAGATAAACAATAAGAACGTTTTTTTTCCGCCATACAGTATATATGTATATACAACGTTTAAAACATATGTTATACAAATTATTTTATTTTGATACAAGGAATCATCACACGTTAATAAATAAATAATTGTATATGATTATTATATAAAAAAAGACTGTAAAAATATTTTTTTTTCGAATTTTAAACTACACATTTAAAAATTACTTTTACTGAATATAAAAATAAATTAAAACCTTAAGGCCAACTGGCAGATATTAGTTTACGTTTTAATAAATATTTTGCACCGTCTAGGTACAAGCTAATTTCTGATGATACGCCATTGGAGAATTTCGCGTGGTGACAACTTGCCTCACTTTCAGCTGCCGTGTTACCTGTCCCCTCTCTTTCCTTGTCTAAGGGCCAAGTGATGACGTCTAGGGTTTGACCTCGTCAAAATTATCATCGATCATCATTCCCCAGCCCTCTTTGACGCCGTGTTTTTTTCGATCGTATGTTACTTCCTTCAATGAAAATAACCGTATCTACCCAATTTCCGCTGATCTAGTATATCCGTCAAAATCTAGACTTTTTCGCCACACAACCGCCAAAAATCGTTGAGTCACCTCAAACCGAAGCTTTTTCTTCAAATCCTGGTTCCTGACCTTGGAAGACCTTCACAATGTTAATTTTTTCATTGCCTCGTACTCTCAATGTATATATACAACCCGCAAGAAAAAATTAGTTCAGTTGAAAAGTGTGTTTTGGTTGGACAAAAGATGACGACGACGTTTTCTTTGGTTAGTATGTCCATGGAGATTTCGGTGATATATTGCGGTCTATAGTGTTGTGCGTCGATGGATTTTTTTTCGTTTTTGTTTCTTTGAATATTGTTTGAGTTTCTTAATAGTTATGTATTGTGAAAACCAATAATTATCGTATAATTAATTATATATCAATACTTAAAATTTTAAAATATTCAAATTAGAGAAAAAATAATATATTTCTTTAAAACTGTGCGTTTAATTACTAGGTATACATATATTTTTTTCAGATTTTGTGTGCAGCCTTGGGTGTGGTAGGAACCCGCAGTTCCATATTGGTACCTGAGTACCAGGCAGGGTCATTATACCATGGGTATGGAAAAGAATATGCTTCAAATTATCACAATTATGTAAGTTATTTTTTCACTTCAGTTTTTGTGAGTCTAATTAAAAAAATATTACTAAATTGTACTGTTACTATACAGGATGTTGAATCCTTATCAAAATATATGTAAAAAGTTCTTATAAACATTTTTCCGAAAATGCATAATTTCCAAGACACGACATGTTAAAAAATTTTAAAAATATTTTTGTTTGGAATTATTTTAATAATTACAAAATAATCACTAGTATTTTTTTATCTTTCTTTCTTCACTCTAGGAACCTAGATCGTACGCATTTGAATATGGTGTCTCAGACCCTCACACGGGAGACCACAAAACCCAATGGGAAACCAAAGACAAGGACGGTACCGTACGAGGAAGCTACAGCCTCCTAGACTCAGACGGTACAACCAGAATCGTCGATTACATTGCTGACGACCAGGGTTTCAGAGCTGTCGTTAAAAAAGTTGGCGCTCACGGCACCTCTGTTGAAACTCATGGTCTTGATCATCCAGAACACAATGTACAAGTAAGTCATTCTTATTTTTCACTTATCGTTGTGTGTTAATAAATACATTTTTTAGCCTGTGGCTCTGGCATCAACGGTTGAACCCCATTCAACCATCATCGAGCAACCCATCGACTACAAAAGCTATGATGGAGGCTACCAAGCTTATTCTGACTTAAAACCTGTTGTAGCTGATGTATTTACTAAGCCAGAAGAATATGTTCAAGCTCCTAAAGTAGAAGGATTGTTGGTTAAGGTTCCAGAACACCAAGAACACATAGAGCATCATCAGCACATTCCTGAATCTCATAGTCTTCCGGAAATCTATCATCGCCAGGCTGAGCAATACAAAGTAGCTCTTCCAGAAGAATATTACTCTGCTCCTCAACACCACTACGTACCAGAAGAGTACCATCATGAATCTTCAGCTCCTTTAGTATCTGTTCAAAGTCATGATGACCATCATCATCTTGCTTCAGGCGTGAAATCAGTTCCACAATATGTTCTTCCAGCATTAGAACAGTACCACCAAGGTCCAGTGGAAGTCAGTCATTCTTATGAAGTTCCTAAAGGATATATCCCTCATCCTGAAGTTGTTCATCATCATGAAAATCACCATGATGGTCCAAAAAGTGATGCTGTCTTGCTGGAGTCTTCCAAACTCAACTTCCAAGGTCCTGTGGAAGTCAGTGATTCTTATGAAGTTCCTCAAGGGTATATCCATCATCCAGAAGTTGCTCATCATCACGAGACTTACCATGATGGTCCAAACAGTGATGCAGTGTTGTTGGAGTCTTCCAAATACAGCCATGAAGAAAATCCTGGCCAAAATTTGAATCATTACGTACCAGAACAATCTCTTTCAGTACTGCCTATCGATCACCACGCCCAATACCAACTAAATTTAAATTACCATTGAGTAATTTTACCATGAAAAAAATGGACTGAAAAAATTCTTTGTGTATATATAAAAGTATGACTATTTATTTTTTTATTAAGCTATGTGTATATTTAAAATATGATTAATAATAAATTATTAATTTTACCAAGTACATTATCTGTTTGATTAAGATCTTTCGGCCTTCCGTATTACCCGATTTGTCACCTAGTAAAACTTAAATTCGTACCTTTCTCTTTAATACAGGGTGAAATTAAATGAAAAATATTAAATATGGAAATAATTCTTGACTAACTTTTTACTCATATAATAGGTCGAACTTTCCTGAACATACTGTATGTTTTATGTTTTAAATTAAAGGATTGTTCACTTTCTAATATAATAGTTGACTTTCTAAATAATTAAAACAATAAATATTTTGAAAGTACATACTTTATAGAAAAAATAATCTTAAGCAGGCAATAAAGAATGTTGTAATTTAGTCTGTCTTTTGCAAAATTAAATTGAGATTTGCTTGAATAAATTCTTCAAAGATCGAATATTAAGTAGAGCTTTCAAAATTATCTGATAAAAAAAACTTTAGAATTAATTTTTGTGTAAATAGATTAAAGGATTTTAGTCAATCAAAAAATAGAATAATATCTGTAACTAATAGTTTGGTTGTGAGTAAAGAGTTAACACTTTATTGGTTGATGGTCGCTAAATCGACCACTTTAATTTAACCAACTGATCAGTTGCGTGGAAGTGTATTATCTCCCAGTATTAGAAAGTGTATATCTCCCTAATTGTCGTCTAAGCATTTTCTATGCAAATTTCATGTGATAAAAATTTAAAAATATAGAAAGAATAATTGTATCTGTGACATTAATTTCTTCTTATTTAGTGCGCCAAATTTACGGCTCGGATGATATTTTCTAAAATCGTTAACATATCCTGTATATTTTCAGCAAAATAAAAACACTAAATCACCACAATACACCAAAACACTTTTACTTTTACACTGGACGCGCGTTTCGCTAACCATGTTAGCATCATCAGCAGATCATTATAAACTAAGTTAAGCAGTTTATAATCATCTGCTGATGATGCTAACATGGTTAGCGAAACGCGCGTCCAGTGTAAAAGTAAAAGTGTTTTGGTGTATTGTGGTGATTTAGTGTTTTTATTTTGCTGTGTAACACCAAAGGTTCCAACCCTCAACTGTAATCTGTATATTTTCGATCATTTCTCATAGGAGGCGAGTTTCTCGTAAAACAAAATTTGATTTACTTGGTATGGGCATATTTTTGAGTAACAGAGATAATCAAAATGAACGTACTTTTTCTTCTTACATTGTATGATACATAACGTTTATACATTATATACATTAGATCATTACATATGATCTATTTGCTTTAACAGACTCTAATTGAAAAATCGACCATAACCCCCCTCCCACTCCCTTATTTGTTAAGTTTTTGAAAAATGTTATTAAGAAGATATATGCTCCCTTTGTGCTAGTTTATATATTTTTAAAGTCAGTTTGATCAAGCTAAAAAATAATTAGTACCGCCCTATAAAGGGTTAAATGATTTTTTTCTACATCGAGAAAACACGAATACCCCTTTGCTTATCTTTGGCTGTATTTAAATTTATTAATAAGCTATTTTATGTCGAATGTTAATGATTTAAATTTTGAACTTAAAAAAAATCAACTTCCAATAGTATTTTTGTTTCCTCTATACAGGGTGTCTATTTAAAAAAATCTTGATATTTTCTAAAAAATGAACAAAAAAAAATAGTATTGCAGCTTAATTGTCCTGAAATTTCTTGATGACGTATTGAAGTCTTGCATTGTTGCAATAAGTAACAACAAGTGAACAACTATCAGGAGTGGAAAACACGTTGTTGATCTTGCGATAATTATATTTTGATACGTATTAACCTTTTTTTTCTACCCTAAATTAAGTGATACAATCGGACAGTTTTTAGTACGTAGGACGTCTAGATCTTACAGAGGGTTGTTTCTTGGTACCACCCCCAGAAATAACAGTACCAGATTCGTTTGGATTATTCCTCTCCGCATTCATTTCCTTGAGATTTTGACCGTATACCGTTTCGTTTGATTCCTTTTCTATTGTGTCTCTCCTGTGGTTGATTGAGGGACTCTAATCTGAACATTTCACGCCGTTTTTGTTAATTATATATCTAGGTGGTAACTTTTAACACTTTGGTTAGCGTCAGATGGCTTAATAACAGTTATTTTTCGATCAATGGAAGTGTGTTGTAAGTTTGACCGACCATCTTCAACATTAACGTTTTTTTTGTTAGATTTATTTTTATTTTTAGACCTATTTTCATGATTTTTTAACTGTATGCAGGATAGCTCGAACTGTATTCAGAAAACTTTGCCAGCATATTCTGGTAAATACCAGCATATATGGTAAAATCATTTTTAAATTCCTTGCTTTGTTAACATATTCCACAGCGTGTTTCAAACATTCACTAAAATATCAACGTTTTGTTTTCCCTCGTATAATTGACAGATAGGAACTTTCATCTTTAATTTAGAAAGAGATACTAAAAAGTCAAACAATTTAGCTACAAAATTGCTTAAAAAATCATCAAAGTCGGCCCACTAGAACAAAATATATTACAGAATTTTAACTTTTAAGTGCAGAAAAAAGAATGTGTTTAATTTGGCAAGGTCGAAATCTGAAGCAAAACGCAACCACAGGAGTTATTGTTGCCAATTATAACATTTAAAACGCGCGTTTCATTGATTTACAACTAACTGTAAACGCAAAACAATAGCTTTAAGATTTTTTTTCCTGTTAATTTCACCCAAAGATCCTTCTTAAGTTTTTTTAACGACTGTTTGTATATTATCACACGAGGAAATGAACCTAGGTACTCACTGATTATGGTACTCTCAGTGATATACCGTTCTTTTTCGTATTTTCAATCCAATCAGCAAAAAAATCACTTCTTTTTAAATTTTTAATTTTGAAACTATTTTGAAACTTATTTGAAAAACAATAAAGAGAAAATATATGTTTCTTTTATCGAGATCAAAATAAATTAAATATTTGCAATTATTTAAGACCCACCCTGTATTGTATCCCTGTTCAAATGGAAACTTATTTTTTTATAAACTTTTTATCATAATTGACGCTAGAAAGGATAATGTTTTTGTGCTTTTTTTTTGATAAATATTTTATGAGTATATTTTTTATGTTAGCAATTATTATGAGAAAATTCCGAAGTCCCTAGAATTTAATAAACCATATTTTAAACTTTTCCAAGCATTTTGCATATATTTTTGACTCCTTATCTAACAGTATATACATAAACACCAATGCATGACCAGACCCCATAATAAAAAAAGACGAAGTCAACCATAAAACCACTAACTTATCGACAACCAGAGCATAAAAATCAAAGAACATACACTGTATCCCGCAAAAATTCTACTATTTGTTATTTAAATATTATCAAACATGTTTTTTAGTGTTTTTTAAATTTTTGGTGTTACGTTTAAGGCATTGGTTGGTATAAAAGCAATAAGAAATTTGTCTAAAATCACTTCGTATTTGATCTCGCTGTTAACAACAATGAATTGCTTTGGTGTAAGTAATGGTACCAGTTATATTATATTTGTATATAATTTATTTAAAAATATTAATTCATCATATACGTCTAGATTTTCTCAAATAATCTTTCACAAACCAATCTATCAAACAAAATGTTTCAGGTATTCTTCTGTTTGAGTGTCATTGTAGCTGGGTCATTGGCGTATCCAGATCACGACGAGGATCACGTAAGTATTTTTCCATAATAAATAATATACAATATACCTACAGGGTGTGAAAAAAGTAGTGTATCAAAACTTCATTGGTTGATTCTGCAGACGAAAATAACTCAAAAAGTTTCTATGAATATATTATGACCCAAGAAGCTTCCTTATGAAGTATTACTCATTAAGTTTGGTACGCTTTTTTTACGCCGGGTAGATCTTAGGAATTTATTACGAATAGAAAAATTATTGTGCTGGGTTGGCGTTGGTTTCTGTGTAATTTGACAACTAAATGAAACTGTCTCTTTAGTTGTCAGTTTTGAGTCAATATTTTTTAATTCTCTTTCGTGTCGATTGCTGATTGAATTGGACCCAGAAATGGCTCAAAACGAAATAAGTAAATTACCAACAGATATTCATGCTGAGGCGACAAACGCCATATCCAAACTAATTCCATTTAAACCCCGAATAACTTATGAAAAGGAATACAAAAATTTTCAAAAATGGAAGCAATTAATAAACGTGCGAGAAGGAATAAAGTTTTTAACCTATCCTCGCTGTTAAAGTATCATTTAATCTACCCCTTGCGGTTAAAGTACTATTTTATCTACTATTTTTGATAGATATAAGACAATTTTGACAGTTACTATGTAATAAACAAATTTTTTCTTTGTTATTTTTACAGCATGTACCTCACTACCATTTCAAGTACGGAGTCCATGATCCCCACACCCACGACCACAAACACCAAAAAGAAGAACGTCACCACGATGACGTCAAAGGAGCGTATTCCATCCACGACCCAGACGGTACCCATAGAGTGGTAAAGTACACTTCTGACAAGCACGAAGGGTTCAAGGCAGAGGTGCACAGGGAAGGGCATGCCAAGCATCCAGGACACCATGGTCATGGAAAGGGTGGTACCAGCTACGTGGGGGTAACCCATTGGGGACACGGATCAGGAAAATAAAGTGTTATTTGTTTTCGTTGTTTCCTGTTTTTGTTGTACTGAGATTTTTTATTATAAATAAACAAGTATTGTTAGAAGAAACTTTGATTTTTATTTTGTTAAAAGTTTCAATTCTTGTAATGTTACTTCTTAGTTGTATCAGACTAATTTATAAGTTAGTCTGTGGTTATATTAATTATAATATACAATGTTTGTATCAAGAATACAGTAAACTTGAGTATGTCGTTTGTTTTAAGAATTATAAAGATACTAGAGCTATAATAATACTAGTTTTTGCAAAAAAAATTGTAATATACAGACAAAGGGAAGGCAATGTGCATAATTTAAAATTATTTTGAAATGTACAGAGTATGTCAGAATTAAAATCAAATACCAGAGTTATATTTTTTCTTATAGAACACCCGGTATTTTATTTCATTTTTGGATTCTTGGCCATAAATTAAGGCATTTATTATAAAGGTTAAATTAATATGTTTACAACTTTTGGTTTTGGAGATATTTAAAGATATTTAAATATGCTTGCTATAATAAAAAAAGTTTGTCAACACCCTGTACAATACTTTTCAGATTGCTATTTGGATGTCTTTGAGCATAAGCCCTTGAGGCCAAGAAGCAATTTGGTCAGGGTCAGCAAGCAGTCAAGGTAAAAGATAACTGTCAAATGAAGTTGTCATTTCAGAAATTTACCTATTTAGTATTCACAAAACATCCCCCTTTAGAACTTCGTCTGTCATGTTAAGAAATGAAAGTAAATAATAAAGCGCCTCTCGTGTTTGTTCGCACTCAAAAAATTTCAATTAATGCCTGTATATATTTTTAATATATTTTTTAAATTTACATTTTTTAATTGGAAAGTAATATATTACATTTAAATGGAATATATTACATAACAATTATGTCAATTACAGAATTACAAGCTTGTTTTCTAACATTTTTTAAATAAAACGAATTATAAAATTTCAATATATGTATATATTTGTCGTAGGTATGAAAAAAGTAAAATATAAAATGGACAAACGTTTACTTACATTGCAATAAAACTGCCACTTTTAGCAATCCAAACGCAATATTTCTATTTCACAAATAAAAATATCCGACAGCACTAAAATCACTGAAACTTCCGCGGCTGACAACGAAAACTGAAAAATATAACGTCACTTTTTGTTTTGGACCTGTATATCAACATTAAGCTGTACTATTAAGCTGGAGTCTCATGCATCCGAAATCCGATGACACGACGATCCGACGGTCCTCCTATTGGTCGAAATATTTTGACACCAATTTTTATCCGATATTTTTAACTAATCGTCCGACGTCGTATAAAGTTAAATTTCGTTTAACTTTTGTACGATATCGTGTTTTTTAACCTCACTTTTTTTGAAAACATTGGTTTTTAAAATCAAGTTTAGTGGGAAGTGGGCAATTTCGGGATATTTGACGAGGAAGTTATTTTTATAAGTGTTTCTCCAATAATACATGGAATAATACATAATAATAATACATAGTAATTACAAGTCTAAATGTCAAAACCGTCAAATTTCGGAACGAACTTTCGGATGTATGTGACAGGCTTGTTTTATTTCACACGATAACTTCAAATTTCGGATGTCGTACCATCGGATTTCGGATGCATGAGACTCCGGCTTTACGTGTTTGTTGTTGAAATAATATAAAATATCTAATTATATTTTAATATTTTAACGTGATTTGAACTACTCTTGACAATAACTAACTATGAACTAACTTTTTGTTATCAAGATGACATTTTAGACGGCAACTGACATATATGTCATAATAATTGAATCTTAAATATGTATGTAATATAATTTAAATTACTATAATGCAACTTTATACTAAGAAAACATTTATACATTCACAAAATACAACAAAGTCTAATAACATAGTTTGAAAACAATGAATATTGAATTAAAATTGTTAAAGTTAAGCGCGACCCCTTGTGTCAAAATTAGACGATTAAATTTTCGCAATTTTTACACCATTTGATGACCGGTGGCGCCTCTAGTGTTTGTTCGGGCGGTTGGGCTTTTACTCCCGCTTATGGCCATTAAAGAAAAAGTTCTAAAGGGGGATGTTTTGTGTTAGTGTTTTATTATTATTGAAAACTCATTCCTACATCGGAAATCTTAAAGATGTATTTATAAATACAAATTAATATGAATTAAAGTAAAATAAAGTAATTAATTACAAGGTTAATTATAGTATTATTACAATATTCAATAACTTATTAATTTAGGTACTATTAAATTGTTAGAACTTTAGGATTTAAGATGTTCAAATATTCCTCCATCGACTGCTAGACAATAACCCAGGCGATCATAAAATTCTCTTCTTACATTCGCTAGTTGGTAAACTGAAATTCTATTGCATTCGGCAGAAATAGCATTTTTTAACTCGTCTAGATTTGGGTATTTTTTATCCTTGTATATCTTGTTTTTTAAATGGCCCCAGAGAAAGAAATCATTTGGCGAAATATTAGGAGACCTTGCTGACCAATTTACTGTATGATGCCAATAACGTTTCCGTTAAAACTATTGTCTAAATATTCCCAGCCGGGCAGCCATCCATTTGGTACCAAACTTCCTGATTTTCCCTAGCGGCATCATGTAAAGCAGGTAAAATACGATTTTCGAGTAGTTCCAAATAATATTCTACATTTAAATTTGGCGTAAGAAATAATGGCCCGATAATATTGTGTCCGAATATCCCTGCCCAAACATTTACTTTCTGTGGATATTGCCTCCTTGTTTCGACAAACCTGTGTTGGTTTTCTTTGTTCCAATATCGATAATTTTGAACATTGGGTTCATTATTTAAAGTAAACGTGCATTCGTCAGTAAAATATATGTTTTTTAAAAATTCCCTATCCGTGTTTGCTCTTTCCATCATATCAAAACAAAACGTCTGCCGCCGTATTTCGTCCCCATCTCGTAGCTCTTGGTGCTTTTCATATTTGAAGGAATAGTATTTATGTCGTTTGAAAATTCGAAACGCTGTGTGATCTATTCCTATTTCATCCTCAAGTTTCCTTGTGCTGATCTTTCCATCGTTCTCTTCCACGCACAATAAAACTTCCAAGTCGGTATCATTTCTTGCATCTTCTCTTTGTTCCTGCCTTGCTTCACATCTGCAGTTATTTATTAGGGTACCTTTGGTCTCAAATCTCTGGATGTTTATTATCTATAATTTATATAATGTTTTTTTATTAATATATAATTTATATAAATTTACATGGGTATATATCCCCAATGAGTTTAAAAAGCTCATTTTTGTATATTTTGGAATCGAACTTTACATAGTAAAACTCTTCCTCAGCCTACACTGACGCTGTTTCTTCCGTTCAATCAAACAATAGAATTTTACGAAGATCGAATCAATTATTGTAAATCTCAAAACAAAGCCTGAAGAAATGAAGAAGGTTTTTTTTGACAGCTTTCTCGCGGTCGAATAACCTACAAATCAATTACTCTAGAATGACGTAACGGCCTGCTGTCATTGTAAAAAACATCCCGTCTATTTCTTCAGTTCATTTTACGGTAGCACTAGAATTAAAGATCTTTTCTATCTATAAATACCATGATGATTTCGATAAAAGCTCACTGTATGTCAAATCTGGCAAACAGGATGGATGCTCCTAGTTCCGAGTAGATTTTCAGGTGTTTTGGAGTGATCTGTGTATCGTTACGAATATATATGATTTAGTAACATAAAAAACAATGCAAAAATGTTTGGATATAATGGATTTTGGTTATATCACCTGTTCATTGTAGTTCTGTTTAAATAAACGGTATATATTTTAGGTTTTTTGTTGCTGTTTGGTCTAGTATCTTGTAATATTGTTGCTAAACGGATTGAACTGATTAATTTGTACTATATAAGCAATATAATCCGGAATATTTGTTCAGTCTCTCTGTAATCTGCTTTGTGGGCAGTATGAATAAGTTATTTGTAAGTGGTCTTCAAGTCAGACTGATCTGAATTCAATTTTTTTTATCGCCGTATATTCTGCGTCATAAGCGAATAAAAACGACGTCACAGTAGGAGTAGAATTAACAATCCGGTTCGAGTTTTACTATGTCGAATGATGAAGTTCTCTACAGTGATAGTGACAGTTGATTTTGGGATATAGAACATAACAGTTACAGTGTCAAGAAAATTGAGATTTGTATAACAATCTTTTTTAAAAAAAAAACTACATATTTAGTGGTTTTTTTTAGGGTGTTTCAAAAACATGTGCCATCTCTCGTGGAGAGATTCCTCACGTAAAATCAAGATTTATTTTTCATATCAACATAGGTCAGATTCTGCTTTGTTTCGTAGCTACAGGGTGTTAGATTCTTAATATTTTTTCGATTTATTATAATTTAATAAGTACTTTTAGCGTTTTGAATGAAATTTTGAGGGTAAAAGTTACTATAAATACTATAAAAGTGTCGACATTTTCACCAGGGACGTGCATATGGGTTATCACTAGAATTTTTTATATATCACATATTTTTTAATTTTAGCCCAAATAAATGTTTTATAAACGTCAGTACTATGGTTGAAAAATGTGTTCGCGACTCAAAATCTAGTCTCTTTACCTGACTTGGGGATTTATCAAGACACTCCCTCACCCTGTATAGTAAAACTCGAACTAAAACGTTAATTCTACGCCTACCGTGCCGTCGTTTTCTTTCGAAAACAACGTAGAAAATGTAATATTCAACAGGCGTTAACAGTACTGGCTTTCCTTGGTACTATTCATGGATACATAGTCCAGCAGGACGACGCAAGTTACGAGAACTACGAATATAATGATGACAGTGGTGAATCTGATGACGCGAGCAGTGAAGAAAACGCCGAAAATGAAAACGGTGGTCAAGGAAGGTTTGGTCAACTAAATTCTTATCATGGAGCTCAGCAAAAAGTCGCTCCGTATAGATCAGCACAGTACAATCATGCACAGCCTGCAGCTTATCATGCTGGCCATCATGGAGGTCACGGGAAACCACAGAAGACCCACGAAGCACACAAGAAAGGATATGGAGGCCATCACCATCATCATGTAAGTACCATGATCATTACGTAATAGTTATTTTTTATACAAGAGGATAATGCAATTTTATCGTCGTGTATAAAACAATATTTTTTTCCATAGCGAATTACGTTTTTTTTCGATTACAGCATACTCCTCACTACCATTTTTCCTACGGAGTGCATGATCCTCACACCAAGGACCACAAAAGTCATCAGGAGTACAGGCACAAAGACAAAGTCGTGGGAAGGTACACCGTAGAGGAACCCGATGGTACTCACAGAATCGTGGAGTACACTGCTGATAAACACAATGGGTTCCAAGCAGTGGTTAAGAGAATAGGTCATGCCAAACACCCAGGGCACAAGGGTCATGGGCACAGCTTTTTTGGAACAACCCATTGGGGGTATGGTTCTGGAAGATAAGGATTTGTTTGTTAAATAAAGTTATATATAGCTGTTTTTTTTTAATTGTTTTTGTTAATAAAATGTTGTTTTTTACTGTTTAATTGGTGTGTTTTATTTTCCGACAATATTTGGAGAAAAAACCATACGATCGAGAAAAAAACGGCGCCAAAGGCGTTTGGGGTATGACAATCGATAATTTACTTGACCTGCTTTAATTTATTTTTATATTGAGTAAAAATGATGATTTATAGGAAATAAATTCATGGTGTCTGGAACTATCCTTTTTTAATCCTTCTATAGTTAGTGCTAATTTTTGACAAGTTTTGTATGAAATTTATAGTAAATGACGTCTACAGATTGACCTCGCCAAAATTATCATCGATTGTCATTTCCCAGCTGTCTTTAACGCCGTTTTTTTCCGATCATACAGTAAATAAATCAGTAAAATTATAACATTTCTTTTATTTTAATTTCGCTCTTAATTTTTGTTTCGATAAATTATTAAATTGCTATGAATAAAATAATTATAACCTCAAAAATAGGTAATTCTCACTAATAAATTGAAACTCAGCTGCAATTTTTTATAAATAAACTACTCTCATTAATAAACGAGGTGTCTAATAAGGTAAATACTTTAAAAATAAATTTAAGATAACCAAATTAATTTAAAAATTTAAGAAAATAAAGCTTACATTTTGAGAACCGCCGCACAGTGGGCAAAAATCCAGAAGTATGTTGCAAAAATTGTTTTTTTTGTACGATTTTATTCAAATTTGGTAAAAACATACTATGCCAGTAGGCCGTGAACCCTGTTAGTTTTGGCTCACTTGAGAGTGGTTGGGGGTGGTGGAGGGGATTCATAAAATGGAAAAATCATCTTTTGACTAATACAGCTACCAAAATGCGGTAAGAATATTTTACATTTCACTAAATTTTACGATTTTTGGCAGAGACAAGATGAAACAGAGAAATATTGAGCAATTATTACTCCTGTGCCATATACAGGGTTTGTTTTATATATTGACATCCTCTGTATCTTTTTTATTCGACGTTTTCGAAAAAAGTGTCTTGATTAAAAGTTTAACGGTCTCGAATACATTTTTCAAAACAGTCTTCTTTGCATATACAGGGTGCCTTAGAAATCCTGTGTATGGCCCAACTTTCTTATTTCAAATTAGTACCCATTTTTTTATTTGATTTTTATTTTCTCCTAAAAATCCTAACTACTTTTTTGTAGCATAGCCTATACCTAATTTGAAATAAGATAGTTGAACCACGCCCAGACTTTTTGAAGCACTTTGTATATGCGAAATAGACTTTTTTGGCAAATTTATTCAAAACCACTTTCATTTGAGACAGTTTTCGGAAATGTCAAATAAAAAACATAAAGGGGGTGACAATGTATAAAAGAAAACCCTAGTATACTAATCCAATCGAACTTTTATTCAAGATTGTTTGTCATTTGAATAAGTTGGGTTTCTAATAATACCAGGCAATATGTGAACAATATTTTATTATTATATTTTAAATAAGTAATAATATGCTGAGAATTAAACAATGACAATTTAGGAAATAATAGAACTTATACTTATTAAAAATATCTAAATTTTATTTTACCACCTACTATTTACTGATATTTTGTTTTATAACAGCTGGAAGCAATGGTCACGAAGTGCACATTTTTAAATCTGAAAGAAAAATCCATTTCATTTAATTTAAAAAATTAGGTAATAATTTGTCAATTTGTCAAAAAATGTCATTTGGCATTTATGACATACCTCTTCGGAAATCTTGAGAAAAGTTACGTCACTTTATATTTCAAGTTCTTCTCTAGCTCTAGCTACTATAACAATTAATTTATGACAATTATCCACATAAAGGATGTTACTATACACATACGCATGGAGGCTTACGCTTCCAATACATTTAATGTTGCGATTTTTTGCGATTTTTTTGACTTAACTTTTCTAAGATAGAATATATGCCACTATCAAAAAAAACCTTAAATGATTATGTTCTACTTTGACCTTTACCTAGTTTTTATCCAAAAAATCAAAATAAAAGATACTTTTTTACTTACCTTCACATTAAATTTACCCCAACCGGGAATCTACGTAAAACACGTTATGACAATTTTACAATAATTTTTGACAGTAAGCTAAGGTCGTCCGATTCAATTGTTATAATACTGTGTCACTTGAATGCAACGCCTACTATTTAAGAAATTGTAGAAAAAAGGCAGTTTTTGGACACAAATTAACTGAAAATGTAGGTTTTGCGCAAAGTTCGTTTTACAGCCCCTCGAAAGAGACTCCGAATATGTTTTTTTGTTAGTTTTATGTGGTTTCCTCTTAACTAATATGTTTCCAATCTAATGTTATTGCCATAAATGCTAACTGTGGATGTTATTTTTTGCAACTTGGTTTGGACATATTGCCTACTGTGCGCCGGTATGAATGGGTAATCAGCAGTTTATTCGACGCACTGTGTTGCCACATGGACAACAAAGTATACACTTAATCTGAATTTTTTTTTAAACTCATGGGAGTGTTTCTGGGGTTGAGATAATTGACACATATGAGACACCTTTTATTTGCTACCAAACTGGGAGATAACTAACTAAGAATACCAAAACAAAACCTGGTTTAACTCAAAATAAGTACATTAGAAGAAAATTAATACCTTTTTTGAAATTTTTAAAGAAAATATGTTTTTTTTAAAGCAGAAAATTGTATATTTTTACAAAAAATAACAAATATATCCTAATAAAGACCACCAAATAGCAATATAGAAATATAAACCGTTCCTTAATATTGTCCATATCAGTTTTAGACATCTTTTCCCCTTTTCTATGATAAATTAACCAAAAATTCCCATTTCCTTTCAGTAGACTACTCGATTGAGACCTTACAAAATACCAGAAACAAAAGACGTTTTCAAAATGAATGTGTCATTAGGCTCTTAAGTCAGATGTCCTTTTTTTGTTGATTAATCTAGTGCAATCTTTCATGGTTGATCATTAATATACAGAACTAGAGACCTTGATAAAAAATGGTGAAATTTTGGCCTATTATATTATTTGACAATCAATGAAGTTTCAAAATAGTACCTCTATACAGAGTGCTTCAATATTCTGTGGATATACAGTGTGTATATCCCTGATTGTCTTTAGAAGAGGAAAACTTTTTTGAGAAAAATGCATTTCTCATAAAAAAAAATTGCTTATTCTAAATCGGTTAATTCCGTTTATTCTTTTTCAAATTTCCATACCGTTTTAGAGAAAATTAAAAAAAAACATGAAAATATAGTTGAATTTTTTCTAAAGATCAAAATGCGTTTTTATGGTAATTTAATTTCGTTTTTATTCATTGATAGATTGTTATTGATAAAATGTTAATTAACGTCATATTTTTTGCTGTTTTAAAATGTTAAAGAAGCACAAAATTTATTTAGTTCAATGCTACGGAAAGGGTGATAATAGTTTTCAGAAAATTTGATACTTTAACAGCAGCAAAAAATATGACGTTAATCAAAATTAATTATAACGATCTATCAAAGAATGAAATCAAAATTATATTACCTACCATAGAAACGCGTTTTGATTTTTGGGACTTACAAAAAAAATGCAACTATATTTATACATTTTTTTTAATTTTCTCTAAAACGGTATGGAAATTTGGAAAAGTATAAATAAATAAAATTAAATAAATAAATGCCTTTATTATCAAAAAACACAATTTGTAGACAAAGGTAAACAACAAACAAAGTAAACAAACAAAAGAGAAAGATAAAATACAAAACATTATACATATAACATTGTCAGTCTTATTGTTTAAAATTAAAAAAAAAACATTTATAAATGTTTACAATGTCAAAGAATAAAAAAAATAAAAATAAGATTCAAAAACATTTAGTAAGTTTATAGTGAATATCAATGACCTGTCATTGGTAAATATAGTAATAACAAACATTAGACCAGTGTTTACAAGATCAAATTCGATTATCAAAATATAAGTCATTTACGGCGTAGAAAGTCTGGTCTAGTAAATAAGATTTCAATGCTTTGCGAAATGAAGAAAATGATGTTATGGATTTGATTTCAAATGACAGGTGATTTTTTTCGAGTTGTATAATATTGAACTTTTAACTAACTCTGAGCGTGGGGTAGGTAGATAAAGATCTTGCTCCGCGTTCCTGAGTGGATAAGTGTGAGATGGCCTTGCTTGAGAAGCTGATACATGCTTACGTATTAGGCAAACGCGGATTCAAATGTAAATAAGGAAGGAAGAGTTAATATTTTTAATTTTTTAAAAAAATCCCGGCAATGGGTTCTGCTGTTTAGTCCCAGTGAATATCGAATAGCTCATCTCTTCTGAATCTTGAAAATGCGGTCAAATTGAGTCAGTCGCACAACACGTACCCCAGAATGGAAGGGCATACCTGAGACGCGACAAAAAAAGTGCATAATAAACAGTTCTAGCGACTGACAAGTTAAAACGGGATTAATCATTTTAGAACAAGCAAAAATTTTTATGAAGAATGCATTTTTCTCAAAATGTTAATAATAAAAAAATATCCTCTTGTAAAGTCATCCTCTTGTAGTTTTATCCCACCCTGTATAGATTATATTATGTAATATAACCATTTTTTAAAAAGAATATAACAGAAATTAAACCAAAACAAGGCGCTATTCATTCTTCAAATATATATGTGTAATTTATAATTTTACAATACATAATCGATTTCTTTTTTTAAAAAGCCAAACTAACGAAAATATTACATGATCAACAGAGCGTGTGAGCTTTTTAAAATCGGTACGACTTTTTCCTCCAAATTCTATAATGTATGCAATCACATAAGTTGAATAAATACTATAGTACTTTCCGTGAGACTGAGCATAATGAACAAACCAAATATTCGCAACATTAAAAAATCAATTGAGCGACAAATTGGTACTGATAAAAAACGGTAGTACCTTAACCGCAAACGAATAAAAAAGACAGTTGGCAGGTTGCATTTAATTTAAATATTATTGGCACTATCGGAGAGGCTTGGTACTACCGAAAATTGCTTATTATTGCGACCCTGTTTTGACATAATAGAAATGGGTACGGGTATAAATATCGTTGATAAGTCTACTTTATAGATTAGTGTCTTTTGGATATCGGTACCATGCATTCTATTACTGTAAGCATACACAAACATTTTAGAAGTTTTTGAATATACATTTATTATAAAAAAATGTCTATCTAACATAGATTTTCTAACAAAGTACTCCAAATAACCTAGGGATATTAAAAAATAACAAAAAAATAAAAGTACTTATGATAGATATTTTCTTATTTATTTTGATTGGGTATCTAAATGTTTTTATTATTATTAGCATTTATGTTTCTTTTTGCTTTTAGCTTATATTCTGTATGATGGTTGCCATTGTGGCTTCATATCCTCAACCTCATGGACATGAAGATCATGTAAGTATACAATCAATTCTAATTTATGTCATATACTAACATACCAAATGTCGTTTTTTTATCTAAAATATTAAAAAAGTTATAGGGGTGAGCCACTTTCGAAATGATAATTATTTATGTGATTATCATTAAAAAATATTATGATATAAAATGACTTTATATAAATATATTTATTATACTAGCGTGTACCCGCGACTTCGTTCGTGTCGAATTAATCATTTGTAATGGTAATGATAAAGCAAAGCAAGAATTTCCATTAACATACAAACTGGAGCGGAATCGTGGTTAATTAATTAAATATGTAAAAAAAACAAAATAAATTATGCGTGTCCAAGCGTTTTCCCGAAAGACTAACCGTTTTTTAAATAACAAATATTGTAATATTTGAGGGGCGTTTTCACCCTCTTGGAATTTGAGATTCGAGAAACCCCTCCTTATCGAACCTCTACACCCCACAGTCAATCCGTTTGCCTAAAATCAGCCTCAAATGTCAAGCAGTTTAAGCAGAATCGTGACTCAGTGGTCATATTTTATGAAACACCCTGTATAAATTTTTAAAAAATCTTAAAATATGTAAAACAACAAAATAAAATATACGTGTTTAAGAGTTTTTCCGAAAAACTCACCGGTTTTTAAATAAATAATATTCTAATATTTGAGGGATAGTTTCACCCCCTTAGAATTCGAGTTTCCAAAAATCCCTTCTTATCGAACCTCTATACCCAAAAGTCAATCCGTTTTCCAAAAATCAGCTTTTTACGTCAATCGCTTTAAGCAGGATCGTGATTAATCAATGACCAGATTTGTCGAAACACACTGTATACATTTTCTAAAAATCTTAAAATATGTAAAAAAACAAACCAAAATATACGTGTTTAAGCGTTTTTTCGAAAACTTGACCGTTTTTTAAATAAAAAATATTGTAATATTTGAGGGGTGGTTTCACCCCCTTGGAACTGGAATTTCGAAAGATTCTTTCATATCGAACCTCTACACCCTAGAATCAACCTGTAAATTGCCAAAATTGAGCTTCTTAGTTAAGTGGTTTGAGCAGGATCGTGATTAATCAGTGAGTCAGTCAATAAGGATTTTATATGTATATTAGTATAGACCTTGTATAGATTACAAAAATAAATAAATAATGAAAATATGTTAGACCATGGACCCATATATTTCAAATTTAGGGCCTATATTTCATCATAAATGTGATGATAATTTTTTATGTGATTATCATTAAAAAATATCATAAAAAGTTTTTTAAAATTTACATAGGATAATGCATAGTAATAGATAAAATTATATATAATACAAGTTAATATAACCTCTTATTTTTACCCTTTGACAGCAAGTACCGCACTACCACTTCAAATACGGCGTCCACGATCCCCACACCAAAGACCACAAACACCAGGACGAGGAACGTCACCACGATGACGTCAAGGGAGAGTACACCATCCACGACCCCGATGGTACCCACAGAGTGGTAAAATACACTTCCGACAAGCACAAGGGTTTCACCGCTGAGGTACATCGCGAAGGGCATGCCCAACATCCTGCCCATCACGGCAAGCATGGTGAGCATGGCGGTAAAGGTGGTACCAGCTACGTAGGAGTAACCCATTGGGGTCACGGGTCTGGTAAATAAGAGTCTGAAAGAAGATGGAACGATAGAATTTGTTAATGTTGTTGTTGACATTGTTGATAATTTGATTTTGATATTATTTTTCTAATAAAAATATACCTAATAGTATATATTTGATTTTTTTTAATCCATTTATTGTCGACTATTGTCTATATCTACAATTTCCTTTGATTTTGGTCGTAAAGTCGTAAATGATCTCTTATTAAATCAAAATGGAAATTTCTTTTCCCAATAACGTCATACAGATACTTTTTTCAGCTCCACCCCTAACATAAGGGATGGAATTGACAAAATAATCAACCTAGGTGGTCCGGGCACACTTGATTTTCTAATTCCCAACGTTCTTTTATTTTTCGACGGAATGGTAAAACAAAAGAAGGGCGGTGTCCACGCCCACCGTAGCGAAATATTTCCTAAAATCGTCAATAAAAACAAACGAATACGTGTGACGCGCCTATTTGATTGTTATTTATCATTTTTTTATTAATTTTTCTAAAGGGGCTGGTTTTGAAATTGTTTGTCTTGATTAAAAATTGATGAAGAATGATCCTGATAGGGTCTGAATTTGATAGTAATTTGATGTAAAATATGTTACAGTTATTTTGGTTCAGAATTTGATTATTTGAATATTTTTTTTAAGAATTTACTTATAATCATAAAGTCACTTTTTTAATTCTTATTTACTAATAATGTAGTAAAATCCTCGAAAATTGATATCTGTATAGTAAACATGGTAATTCACCGTATTAAGACTATATTGTGACTTATTCGATAGAAAATGACACTCTGAGTAGAATGACATATCATATGTCAACTTTTGACATTTTCGCAAAAATTGTATTTTAAATTTCAATCTAGAGTGCCATGGCTGTGTTAAAAACACTAATTTTTAATCAAGGAGAGCTTTGGAAAAATAGATTTGATCGTCTAATGTTTTTAGTGTCTTGTTCTGGCCGGTTAAAAGATGTTCAAGTCGTTTTTTTAATCATATCTCAATTTTTTTAAATGGAACAAGGCTGACTCATTAGCATATTTGGGAAAATCATTTTTTTACGAATAATTTGACATCACACACTTGGTATTTCGAGTCAAATTCTCGTTATGAACCGCATGTTACAGCTTCAAATAAACGATATGCGAAAATGTCAAAACTTGACATATGATGTCATTCTATTTAAAGTGTCATTTTCCATCCAATAATAATATTGTATAAAGATGTTTGAAACAAATTTTCCACTTTTTAACCAAAAAATCGATCTTCCTAAAATAGCCCCATATAAACAGACTCTCACTCATATACGGGGGCGTCAGAATTCTCTTTTTTCTCTTATTTGAGACCCCAAATTACATACTCCTCTGATTTATGAGCAGCCGCGAAACGGTATAGCACTAAAGCTGACGTTTTTGAGACCTTCCCTGGCCTATAAACTGACAGTAACCGACAATTTAGGCAAATGAGGGGGGACCGCGCCGAAAATAAACGGGAGGCGTAGCCCTGTTTGTTTTGGGGCCCCTCTTAAAGCAGCCAGTTTCCAGTAATTATCTCCTGTGGTCCAATAAAGCTTTTTTATTTGTTTGGATGTATCGTGATTAAGTTATTTGGTAAATAAGTTTTGCATCAATAAGATTGATCTATACTTTACAGTGTTTTTCATATAACCTGCTAATTTGAGGTATTTTTTTAATATCTTGGAAGTAAAAAAAGATAGAAAGTAGAGAATATTAGAGAAATAACTAAGAAACTACAGAATTTTAATTAATTATCACTAAATAGAATTTTTATAATAAGACAAAACAAAAAGTATTTTGTGAAAAAAGATAAGCGTGACTGGGTCTGGCGTCGAATTGCTTAGTCTCGCCTTGTTTTCAAAAAGACCGAAAACGTGTTAAAAAAGCCGCGAAAAAAATGACGGTACCATTTTTGTCGGTACTGTTTATCGGTGCCAAAGTAAAACCCATAATGGGCGTTCTTAATTTCGTCATACTTTATTATGGGTTTCACTAGGTAAAAGAACTTCAGGACATTATTCACGCTTATTAAACTTTGAAGATCATCTCCACTAATATTATTAGCTTAGCCACAGAATAGAAAATTGTCTTCATCTTGTAACATGTAAGCCACGTTTCAGGTAGATGAGTGCTTTGACAAAATTTGTATAGTTATTAGGACGTACTTTTAATAAAGCATGAGTTGTTTGACGTCTTTGACATGGCACTGTATGCAATTATTATACCGGATATACCAAAGGGATATACAGATCATAATTAGTCTTGACAGTCAGTGTTATATAATCTTTGCTTGTTTTGTTGAATGAAACTACCAATATAGAGGTATTCTCCGGGTTATGTATTTATGCATCGGCTCTCAGAACATATAGGCAATCCCATGTAACTTTTAACAATCGTTTACTATTAATTATTGATTTTATTTTAGAAGAAAAATAAGTCAAGAATACCATATCATATACATCTAATTCCACATTATATTCCTGAAATTTTATTATCAGAGAAAGTTAATACATATAACATTTTCTCGATGCCATCAAAAAAATATTCTTTATCGAATATTTTTTTGGCGAAAGTGAAAAATTATGACTTTCCTCGAGTTGACAGGTTACAGGGCCTGCAACCACTCGACACAAGGGCCACACAAAGGCGATAAAGACCACCTATTCTCCCTCGATGTGGCATCAATGGCTAATAAACTTTCCGTTTCTCTAATAAACCCCTTGATGTCATCATTTTTTAAACGGTTCTCCATTGTGTTGAGGGTGTTTTGCAATTTGCGCCGTGAAGATTCCAGAAGGGGTGTAAATTTTTATATTATTTTTTTCGAAAAATTAGTAACAGAAAACATTAAGGAAATGTAGTGGTTTTGGTGAAAGGACCACACACGTGAAAGAATAAAATTACAACTTTTATGGTGTTGAAAATTATCTCTGTTAAATGATGCCGTCCAGAAATGTTTGTGATAGGAATTTTAAGACACTGAGAAAATCAGATTAACGTGAAGTAAAACATGTTTCTAGATTAAAATATGTCAAAGTCTGACACCATTCCTCTGTATATTAAAATCCATAAATATACCGGGTGTGTCTTAAAAGTGGCTCACCCCTATAACTTTTTTATTTTTCCAGATAAAAAAACGAGATTTGATATGTTAGTATATGACATAAATTTGTATTGATTGATGTATTCAACTGTTTTTGGTCACTTCCTGTTTCACTGGAAATGACTACAACTTTTGATTTTTAAATGGCATTCTGGGCATATTTCTACTTGTGGCGTTTGTTTAGAAGACTATCTTTTTCAAAAATTATTAATTTTTGAAATAGATAGCCACATGTCTTTTCTCTATGTCCCAGCGTCTGTGGTAATCACTAAATTTGACGTTTAGGCTATACAGATTTTTTTGACGCGCACTTTTTTCGTCCAAATATTTTTTTCTCAAAAACGGTCAGTGTTAGATATAGAGTGTTTAATATCAAAATTCATAAAATTTTACAGAGAAATTACGTATGTAATAACAAATGGGGGCACCCATTTAAAATAAGAAAGTTGTTGTCAACTTCCGGTATTTTCGGAAGTGCCGCCATATTGAAAATATTTTTAATCGATAGATTTCGTTGTAAAATAATGATGTGCAAAAAATCTCCTATCTTAATATTGTAGTTTTTTAGAAACCTAGTAATGCACGCTCAGCCCGGGACACCCTGTATGTCGTATCGTATGTAAAATTGTATATTCTTTTGGAATATGTCTTATTTGGATCTAAAATGTTAAGAGTTTTGGGGGAGAGACTAATATTAGAAATGTTCTACAATAAAGCACATAGATTTTTTCTATATTTATTTAGCAAATATAATTGAGTTTAAGAGGATCTTAATTGGCGATGTTTAAATAATATACTGCGTCTTTTACTGACCACCCTTGTCGGCGAGTGCGGCTCAAAGATCAACGCTCCAATTAACGCTAATCCTCGGTAAACCACCAGAAAATGACCGGTCCTAGGGGGCTGCGGTGACGATCTAATGACAAGTCGCGCGTCGCGTCACCTTTGTTTGATCAGGGGCGGCTCGGGAAGGGACCGACACCGTGCCGACGGTGTTTTGTTTCCGGTTTGTGGGAGGGTAAATCGGTACGGCACCAAGGCAACGGCAAAAGACAAATCTAGGGATGTAACTGTATTATTTATCCGTCGATACTTTTACCTGGTAATTGTGTCAAAACTAAGTATCAATATTTACTTATATCGATACTTTTTTATTATTTCATGTTGTATATAAAATGATGCTGTCTGACAGTGACATATTTTCAAAATTCTCTAATTTAGATTACTAAATATACAGGGTCCAGGAATAGTACGTCGGGCATCTGTAGCTCCTACAATAAAAAACTTGGAAATTTTGATTCAATGTTAAGTACAAACCTAAAGTATGTACTAGAATGTATTTCAGGAAAATATTTTAACTTCTATAGGGTGACTCAAAAAAGTGTGAGTGGATTGTTATGATTTTTTTTAAATATATCACCCTGTATATTATTGCATTTTTGGCTTCTTTTCAGATCACTTTACGTAATCCTAAGATTAGTGTAAATATATTTAGATAGTTTCAGAGATATTAATAAATAAATAAAAAATATATATTTCTCAGCCTTCTTAAAAAATTATTAAAAATACAAGAATTGTCCTGAAATCAAAACAATATTAGGTATTTACTTCAGATTGTCTGTATTTACTTTGTTATAAATATGGTAATCGTAAATCATACAGGATGTTCAAAATTCTACGCCAAACTTTCTAAAATATAAAATATTTTTTTTTCGTTTTTTTTTTAAACGGCACAACCGGTATATTATTTCTTCAATAGATGGAGAATTAAAAAATGAACAATTTTTGTACTTAGAGTATTTCATTATTTTTTATATTTTTATATTATCATATGGCATTTTCCACAGTAAATTAAAAAATGCCATTAAAAATTTTGAAATACTTTAAATAC